TGCTACCATGCCCGCTAAACCCACTAAACCATGTCTCAAAGTGCCACATCCAAACATTTTTTGAACACCTCCAGGGATGCTGAGTTCACGACCTCCCTGGGGAGCCCATTCCAATACCTAACGACTCTTACAGTGAAGAAGTTCTTCCTAGTATCTAGCCTGAAATGATACCATTTAACATTTTTGCAAACAAAACTTACATTGCTTCAAATAGATTATTCCTGTACTTCATTGCTCATTTTCAAAATACATTAGATTGGAAAACTTTGAACTGGTTACAAGGTAAAAAGAAATAACTGACATTTTTAATTAAAATTATTCACTTATTATCAGGAAAAATCAAAACCTAAAAAGAAAAAATTAGCTTTAATCTCAACCAAAAATTTTATTTTCTTACTCGTATCAGAGAAACAACAAACGAAATGAGACTGAAAGAGATCTCATCTCCAGTGCATTCAAAGAAATGTAACTTAAAGGTCAGGAGACAGATTTAAGCTTTACTTTCAAAAATGAACTAAGAGGAATTTAAGTACTGAGGGGAGAGGTAGAAAAGTAAAAAAACCACAAACAAACAAAAAAACCCCAGAGATTTAATTGCACCATCCAAGAAAGAATTCTTAGTATTTTCCAGGCTATGTAAACCACTCTCAAACTCAAGGAGTAGCTCTAAGCATCAGACCAGAGCATGCTAAGCAGGACACACATAGGAAGGTAATCAAGGTAAAACAATAGATTAGCAGCTATTTTGTAACAAATTATGTTGCTGGTTCTCTCTGGTAAGAAAAAGAAACCCCGCAGGTATTTCAATAAAGGCAACAAAAAGAGGCATCATCTCAAAATGGTACTTTATGTGCACACATGTATTAGTTATCCTCCTTATTTCAGATGTTCGTTATAGACAGCGGTATTTTACAAAGACTTCTGAAAACTACTTTATATGCTACCACTTTCTTTCTCAACGAGGGATCAGTGTGGTCCCTTTCACTTTTGGAATCATAGCAGATATCCCCAAACTCCAAAATGTTCAAGATCAATAAAACTCTTCCACAGTGTTAAGGAAGAAGGTAGTCAGTATTTTTCAAGGACAGGATTGGAAGAAAGAAAACAACTGATGGTAGTATGTCATGTGGCTTACATCAAGAGATTGTAAGTAACAAATTTTAAGAAAAACAAAACTTCTCTTACACTTAATCATCCTTCCTGAAAGCTGCCTGGAAAGGAAAGCACTAGACATACGTGGAAATAAAAAACAAGAATAAAATGCTTCACACAACCAAAAATGTTATTTGATGCTGAAGCTGACAGAAACATGTTAAACTAGCCCTTCACACCATAAAAATAAAAATTTTTGCCTATCACAGCCTAATAAGAAAATTCTTATTTCTTTCCCTCTAGCAACAGTGAAACACTGTCTTTGTCACATCTGATATTCAAAGTCATAACAAAGATGACCTCTAATCTCTTGATCATACCAAGTTTTCTATTCTGTCTCTGTATTTATTAATCAGGCAGAATAACCACTGAAGCACATCAAGCCAATACCAATTGGCTTAAAATTCCCAACAGAAGTCTTACGCAACTTATTTAAACTGGTTTTTATATAAACCATTAGGTTTTTTAACCCTTCCCTCCCCAGCACTCTCAAAATAGAAATACATTAATGATAGGTTTCTTTGCTGTCTTTGATTCCTCTGAATTGTTGAAAGAAAAATTCAGTGCTCTCAGAAACCTTCATATTCATTTAGCAATTTTTGATCTTCTTGTGTCTGAAAGACTAGACAATGTCTTGGAAGTGGGTGGTTGGGTGCCCAGCTTCATATAACACTTCTGGCTCTCCCCTTTCCTATAAGTCTGCTGGCGGACCCGTAAGTTGGATACATTTGGTTAGCGTATGCACAGCTTTGATGGAATCTGATTGAATTCATAACAAACAGCAATTCATTCTTACTTGTACGATGGCTTCATTTAGTCCTTTAAATCTGGAGCTTCTAAAAATCCCAAATTAGTTCTAATTTTGAATTTATGAAGCACATCTACCATTACATTTCTAAATGTAAAATTAGGGCATACTGAGGGCATACATAGCATACATAGCTCAGGAAAATCAAGGGATAGTCTACTTTGGTGTGCATGAGGGGACAAAGGTCTTTTCTAATTGCTAGCGGCAAAGGCAAACACAAAGCACATAACCCCTGCTAAATGTCCTACAAGAGACGACCAAGTACCACAGCATCAGGAATGTGCTGCTGCCCAAGCTAGGAAGCCTGTTTCTCAGCTGGCCTCATCCCAAGATGTTACAAAAGCTACAAGACTTTTCAAAATACACAATTAAAAAAAAAAAAAACAAAACAAAACAAAGCAAAACAAAAAAACTCCAACAGTGCAAAGCAACAGAAACAAAGGTACATGAGAACTTGCCTAATTCACTTAAAAGAACAAGGGAGAACCATGAGACATCCATATAACTTCCATCAGCCTGGAATTCAAACAGGAAAAGATTTTGGCATAAAAATGCAAATATCTGTTTTGAAGGTACTGGGGGAAATTTAGTTTACTTAAAAAACTAATTGCTAGATGCATTTCTACCTTCATTTGCAGCTCTTGATGCTCAGTGTTTGAGAAATTCAGCACTTTGAGAGCCTGGAGGGAGCCAAGTGCTGCTTAGCGCATTGCTTACACAGCCAAGTGGCTACATACCTCCCCTGTTTTGATCAGGAATATACGCTAGGTCTCCTCTTTGCTTTTCCCCGTTTTGTTCAACGAGAAGAAAAGAACTGATACATTTGACTTCTTCTGAAGGTTAAAAAAAAAAAGAAATATGCCTGGTTTTCTATAATAAAAAAACCCAAAATACCTGTTTAACCATGAAGTTGTTTTAAGATTTGTTTAGCTATCACATTCTCCAGCTTAATCACAAGCAGCAAACTGAGTAACTTAGTATCTAATTCATGGAAATATCAATGGGAGTGCATTTCCACACACTGGACTTCATGAGTGCAGGTTTTCTATGAAGCAATTTAAGGCAGTTTTGGAAAAAAACAGAAGACTAGGTGATTTTCAAATAAACACCAGGAAACTGTTTGGAAGACAGAAAGAGAAAACTACTCTGTGGTCCTCATCCATTCTTTTACCATCTTCTGTAGCCTCAAAAATCAGCATGATTTGAAGTCAAGACAGTCTTGGTATCTCAATCCTTTACTTCTCTTTAAATCCTCACTTTCTTCACTGAGTAATTCTATTCTATAGCACTTGCAGTGAAGGATGCTGCAAGAGAAGACTAAAATCTGAGCTACTGATTCAAACAATTACTCCAAAATTCTCACTGCAGCAGTGGTTATAAGGCTGCAGCTTTTCAAATCTCAGTATTTTGACCACCTGAAAAAATGCATTTGTTTCACATCAGTAGACAATTACTCACGTGATCTTCCTGTAACATCCATCAGAGATGTTAATAGCACAGAAAACAAATTATTCCTTTAAGACACAAAAATATAAGTATATATGCATATAAATTCCTTGAATCATGCCTAAAAATCTCTCTGCACCATCTTTTCAGTGATATAACCATGTGTGATATAAAATGCAGACTGATAATAAATCATTGATTAACACACCTTACACACAAGGCATGGCATAAGAATTATTAATTTATTGTACATATTAGTACTTACAATGAAAAGTTAAATCTAGAGTATTTTAAATCCTATTAATTTTCAAATTCTCATGATACAGGACATGAGTACTGTTAATGAAATATACTTCAAATGCACAGTGTATCAGGCTTTCTACAAATTGTTACCAAAAACAACCCTAAATTTAGCTTTAGGAGCAAACAGAGCCTTTCCATCAGTTTCCCCAGCACACTGACTTCCTGACAATCTGCAGTGTCTACTGATTAACCATGGACTTTCTTTAACTTGTTCTTTTTGAATGTTGTATTTGTTCTTAACATACGTGACAAGGACAAAATTATTTTTTTGCACTGAAGATTGTATTCACATCTGCAATGAACTTCTGAAGCTGAATGTTGAGAAAGCTTATGATGCTTATTCAAGAGAGTATCAATTTAGAAAGGAATAAAATATGAGAGACAGATAAAAGAAAAACAAATTCAGATCTTCCAGCACAATGTTGTGTGTAGGTAAAACTACCTGAACAGCAGTCAGCAACAATTTGATCTGCTATGAATTTTAACCACTTAACATTCACTACCCATGCAATGAAGTGCCAAATCTGAACCCACATAATTAGAGGTTATATATAAAAGAAAAGCAGCCGTAGGGGGGAAAAAAAAACAACACAAAACCACATAGCTAAATTAACCATTAAGGAAGTTTATTCCCCTGAAAATCAGAAGCTAAACTAAACGTTAAAAGAACTACTTTATGAACTCCCTTCTAGTCCAATCTATTCCAGTGCTTCTCAAATCATCGTAAGATGCTCTGCACAACAGTTGTAAAACTGCTTTGGTTTTCTGTTGTGTCTTTTAATAAACACATGCATACACAGAAGCAAGGAATCAAATACAATGAAGGGAAATAAAAACAACAAAAGAGCATTCAAATCTGGGCACCGGCTTCTTTTTGGCAAACTAAAATTACTGTGGCAATGGCATGCAAATGTTTCTAGGAGCTGCTTTTCCAAATCAGTACTAGTAGTCCCTGGATTACAATTCCAATCCTTCTCTGACTTGTTCTTTAACCTTCTATGACTGGTGCCATAATAGCCACCAAACTGCTTTTTAACATTGCTGAATACTCAAGCAGAAAAGGCACTAAACACTTCAGCCTTCTTTGTACTCTGCATTGGTAATTTTACTCTCTTCATTGTAGTATCAACTCCCTTGTTCTCCCAGCCCACTATGTATGTATTCTTAGAAAGACTGCTTGCTGCTTTCAAGTCTTCATTATTTTGTGCTGGGCTGGAGATTTCTGAGTTTGCTCCTATATGCTTAAGCTTTTTTGTTTGAGTTTTGTAATGCTTAGCCTCAAACATCTGACCTTGGTCTCACTTTCTGTCATTTTTCTTTTTCGGTGTTTGAGATTGCAATGACTGTGATCATGGTCAAACTCCAACTGCTCTTCCAATCCTGTCTCCATGCTGGAAAACTTTACTCTCAAGCTTTTAACACAGTTGTTCCCTAACTTCATTTCTTCTTAGCTATACCTCCCAGAAATCTTCATCTAGTAAGTCTTTATGCTCACAAAATCAGACTTCCTAAGAAGCATTCCTGATATTTTGCCATTTTCCCTTCTATGCTTTCTAAGGATCGTGAGCTTGCACTTTATAGTTACTCTCCAACAAGTGTCCACTCAAATCTTTCATCTATGGTTCTTTTGGGAAATGATATTGTAACGTCTATACTCTATAACTGAGTCATCTAAACTCAGATCTACAAGCATCTCTGATTCAGGATTTAGCCAAAACACAGACATATAAATCCAATCATGCAGTCAAAATCCCTGACTAACCACCTAGATGTTTAACCTGCAAAGACTTCTGTTATATATATAAAAAATATATAACATTACATATTCATATATATTCTTTTATA